TAAAGCAAAATTAGAAACAGCTACCTAACACACATCAGCCATTTTAAGATGTTACCATTTCACATTTTCCAAGGGGGAAATACTATTAATTCCAAGGTGATTAATATCCACATGAGCATGATATTGAAGCCAGATTGGAAGACTTCTTTTCCCTTAAGAAAAAAGCTTTTGCAGGAACAGAAAGTATCCCTTACTAAACCTTTCTCAGTGTAATTTAGGTGCTTAGAGATTTTCTGATACCAAAGGCTCAACCATTGCGAAGGTTTTGTCTTATTTTCTTGTTAGAAAAATGTGAATTGTTGTCACCTTCCTCCAAAGAGCTGAGGTGGCGAAACCTCTCTGCAAAACTAGTTCCGTTTAAAATGTTTCAGTGTGAATCTGCCAGACCCTAAAATAATTATAGCTTAGAAAGGCAGATGTGGCTTTGGGTTTGAACAATTTTTATCATTCTGTACCTTTTTGTGGGATTGGAAGAAAGATCAGTGATAAACTGTGTGCCAAGAAAACATACCGAGATTGGAGCCATCTGGTTCTGCAGGAACACCCACAAGAAAGGTGCAATGCCTGGGGAAAGATCATGGTTTCATTAAGGACAGTGACACTACTTTTTTGGCATAGAGATTCCAGCACTGGCAAGGGAACCAACTATTTATTTCTGAGCATTTAGTGATACCTGTGCGAACTGTAGCTTTCTTTGAGATCTTGAATTAATAGGGTCACTGCTTCTTGAATGCCTGCTGCAGGAACTAAGAAAAAGGACTTGGTGTACAGTGGCTGTCAGAGCCAACAGAAGTGTTTCATAGTTCATCTTGGGTAGGAAGAACCCTGTTGGCTGAGGGTAGATGCTGCAGACCTTGCAAGGACAGCCTTCAATGCCATCCAAGCCCAGCTGCAAAAGTTTTGTAAATTATTTATCAGCTGTGGCTATAAATTAGAGATGAAGGGAAGGCCTTTAGGCCTGATCTTGGATGTACTCCTTATTAATGATTTTCAAGTGTAAGAGGACTGAGTATTCTCTTATATGTAGGAATTACTAATGCTACTAAGATTTTGCAGACTGTTCTTATCTCAAATTCTGCTCTAACAGGGAGTTTGGAAAAATCCTTTCCTAGGAAAGGTAAATTTAGTCAATAACCCACTTAATTCAACTTATATTTCATATCTTCCTGTCATAAACACTGGGTCCAATTCCCAATTCAGAGAAGTTGAACTTACCTCTCTCCTAGCCATCAGAAAAACTTTTGCTCATGATTGTGTCAAGTGTCTAACATTCTTACATAAATATTTGAATTTAAAATGTTTACGTGCTATTAGGGTTCTCTAGGGCCAAATATTGTCTAAGCTGTCATGCTTACTCTTCTCAATGAAATAAGCTAGTCAGTGTCATGGCCAAAACCTCTGGTACTTTAATGCAGCGGTCACCAACCTTTCAGACCTCACGGACCACGAGTGGTCCACGGACCACCGGTTGGCGACTGCTGCTTTAATGAGTGCCAGAAGATGGGAAATACAAGGCCCCATTTCCCAAGAGCTTGTGTACCGTGGAATAATGCAATTATTCCTGCACACCCAACCTCACGATACTGTTCAAATTTACACTTCTTCAGTCATCAACCTTTTTCTTTCTCACACATGCACGCACACACAAAATCTGCCTACAGAGACAAGAACTTTTGCTCATATTTTTTTAATGTATCACAATGAGCAGGAAACATACTTGATGAAATATTTTCAAAGGAGTATATTCAATTACCATCTACAATCAACTTAACTATGACAACAAAGTTTTTGTGACAAATTTTTTTTTTCAGTTTGAAAGTTCCATGTGGTTCTGTTTGTTAGTCTCCATGTATTTTGGTACAGTTCGAGATCAGCATTATTACAGTAACAAAAAAGCTAACAAGACTACATTATAGAAAAACACCAAGAACATCATTTTTGGTTTCACTTGCTCTATTTTTTTTGTTTTTTGTTTTTTGTTTTTTTTTGTACATTGCAAAGGCTGTTCATATACCTCTTCACCTCAGGGTCACGTTCATTTATGCTTTCTTTCCTACCCAAACTTGCCCCCCTCCCCCCAGAGAAAGTAAACAAACAAAAAACTAGTCAAAGCTTTGTTTCACAGTGGGCAGTATCTCAGCGCCAACAACCAACCAACTCAATTTATGCTTCTATTTAAAATGTCTTAATTTATTATTTAAAAAAAATATATGTCCATGAACATCAAGTGCACTGGCTTGGGTCACTGCCTCTCTCTCCTGCAACTTCCTGCCCATGACTGATAAACTCAGGGTTAAACACATGCCGTCTGTTTTATTTTGTTTTCAAAACTTTGGCCACATTCATCTCTTTAAATCGCTTTTAAATAAAAAAAAAACCCTTTTTAGATTTAAACTTTTCCGTGTGTGTGTGTGTGTGTGTGTGTGTGTGTGTGTGTGTGTTTCCTTCTTATGTTTCTTTTTGAATGGATAACTTCCATCCTGTGGATCAGTGGTGCTATGAGACTGAATGTCTAGCACCAGCCCACACTGTGGAGTATTTGGGGGAAAAACAACCAACCAACCAAAATATGAAGTGTGAATGAATGTGAAGAATTAATTTAAAAAGTGAGTAGAGAGATCCTATTCATTTATCTACTATGCAACAGACAGGAGTAAATTCTCCAAGGGAGACCAGCCTAAACAGTTGGGCATTGTAGTAAATTCATGCTTTGTAAATGATACTGGTCCCAGCCAGGGTGGATGGTTAGCCCACAAACATTTTAAGCTACGTTTGACCCCTAATTTTCACTATCACTGACTGCTTTGATACTTCTGGGTTAATGCTGAGAATTGTTTTCTTTTTTGAAGGAACATATATGTGGGCAGTAGAGCTGTGGAGGAAAACATTAGTGTGCAACCCACTCCAGGTTGAAACAATCACATAACCCCTCTGAGGAACACTGGTCGGTGGATGCATGCTTACTTAGCCAGTCTACCCAACCAACCATCTTGCAGTCGCCAAATACACCCACAGGTCAAGGCATGACATAACAAAACACTGACAGTCACTCTGCTGCACAGAGGGAGGATGGCATAGTAGCTAAAAGAGAGACGGGTGGGGAGAGGGAGAAAATGGAAAGAACCATTGGGGAGGAGGTGGCAAAATTATTAGGAAATGAACCTAAAGTTGAGGGGGGTGGGAAAGGGATAGAAATTGCACTATTACCAAGCAATATCATTTTTAAAAACAAAGTTTACAGAAAAGACCTAGCAGAATTTGACAGGTAAAGCTAGTGTTAAATTGTTAATTGGTATCATCACATAGAGAACCAAAAAACAAACAATTTTTTCTATATGATACAGACACAGAGTAACATACAACAGTTAAATGGCAAAAATATATATTTTTATAGAGTTACAAACAAGATAAAATAATGGAAAACAAAAAACTGTACAACTTTAAAATTTAAAAATGTTCATCTCAAACACAGGGAGAAATACAAGAATTCTTGTTAAAAGAAAATAGCTTGTTAAAACAGCAAGTGTTTTTGCGTACTTGTTTTTGACACCTTATGCTACAACTGGATACTGGTATGAATAGTTAGATGGTATTCTTTAGCATTTCTACTTTAAAAAATTATAAAAGGAATTTGCACTGTGCATCAGCCTAGTTAGAAATATGTACAACAGTTCAGGATCTACTCTTTCATTAAACTGAAAATAAATTCATAAAAATAAAATAGTCCCGGCTAAAAAAGAAAAGAGAAAAAAGAAAAAAAATCCACTTTTAGATGTTGGAATGCTCCAGTCTTTTGCAAAGTTGATGAGTGGCTTCAGCACTGGGGAAAGAAGCCCGGAAGGTGACCAATGGAACCTGCATTCACAGTCTTCAAAGTTCCCTTTTGAAACATAAGGAAGAGGATGAAGGGGAGAAGGATTTCACACGTTAGGGGCCAGGGGAGATTGTTTCTGTTGTTTAGCTATGAAAGTGAAACAGCAAAGCATCTATTTGTCTCCAAAGTCTACATTATAGCAGCACAAAGTTTTCCTCTCAAAGTTCAGACCATTTTTTTTAGATGAGAAAGGGGGTATGGTGTGTTGTGTTGTGTTGTGTGTCACAGGAATATGGATATTAACGTAAACACAAGTGTCTCATTCTTTCTCTTAGTTCATTGCTATCTGCTTCTTTGTTGGCTGCACTCTGGATCACTCGCCGCTCAGACTGCCTAACACAAGGACAAAACTTTGAAGTAAAAAAATGTGTCTTTTGGTATATGGAATTAACAATTGCCTCTCTGCTTGCAGAAGAAGCAAATAACAACCTGGGAATCTTTTGTTTTATTCTTTCTTTTATTAAACTAAGTCTTGTTTAAATTAGAAACAAATTCTCAAGTAACAAGAACCCTTTCCCCTTTTTCTGCACCAGCAGTGAAAGGGTGTGTCTTTGGATTTTATTTAAAGCATGAAATTTCTTTTTCTGAGAGAAAAGAAAACAAAACAAAAACCAAACCCCTAACCAAAACTTTTTTAGAAAAGAAAAGCACACAATCCAATTACACAAATGGAAACAAATGCTTGAGCTTAGGAAAAGAATATTTGAAGCATCTACCAAACAAGGAGTGGGGAAAAAGAGGGTGAAAAGAAAAGCCAAAGGAAAGATAAATAAAAAATAAATGCACGAGGCTAACAGACATAGGTAACTAGAATTATATGCCTTTAAAAAGTTTCAACTCCCCAACCAAAAATAATCTGTGAGGATCCTAATGACCCCTAGGACCCTTTGAAATTCTTTCTTTAGTTTTATAAAATAATTCTGCAGCTACCCTCTAAGAAATGAAGGCAGCTACATTACGTGGGAGGTTATAGGATGGGAGGTGGGAGGAGGAAAGAGAAAGTGGAATTAAGGGACAAAGGGGAGAAAAGCTTAGGTGAATCAACGGATTGCAATCTATCTGCTAGGAATGAACAAGACAACATCAAATGAGGAGCTGTCAGCTGGACCATACAAAAAGCTAAATGTACACAAAAGGTTTTTCTTTTTATTTTCCTTTTAAATCTACCATACTGCTTCAGTTCATTTCCAATGCAACAATCTACTCAACACCAAAATGGTCATATCTATCATAAATACAGAAAGTCAGTTTTTAAAACTTATTTTTTTAAGCTACGAGTCCTCAACACTCTTTGTGTGTGGGTTTATTTTTTTTTTTTCTGAAAGTGGGAGTGCTTAACTTTTCACCTTAAAATTGGCTTCAGCATAAAAGCTATCCTTAAAATCCCCAGAAAGCTAAAGCAGTTCACATTGTTTTTTTCTCAAATACTTTCTGCCCATTTTTAAATTAAGAAACAAAAAATTTTTCTGGAACAAAAACGAAAAAAGAAAACTGAAAAAAATAATATATATATATAAAACAATGATTCTGAAAACAGAACGAAGTGTGAGCGATTGACCTGAGAATAAAAAGACATTACATTTCTCTTTTTCTTTTAGCAAGCCATTGGTATCTGAATGCTAAGATAGCAAGAAATTTAAAACTGGAACAAGGTGGACTGCTTTCCCATACAGTGCATGCCGGGCTCCTCTGTGCTATCAACGTGGGGGCGTGTATTGAAAAGGGGCAAATATACAAGGGGTTTAAGCTCCAAAGACGTTAGGGAGGCCCTGTGGACTTCTGTTTCCCAGACCAATAGTACCTTCAAAAGGACACAATGTAACAGGGTTCAGGGGTGTGTTTCATATATATATTAGAAAAAAGAAAACACAAGAATGTAAAATCACCGGCATAGATAGGTATATGGGAAAACAACCCACGCTTTTTCTTTTTTTTCCTTTTTTTTTCTTTTTTCTTTTTTTGGTTAGAAGCTTTGGAATTGCAGTTAGTCTATTTTTGAAATTGGTTTGTTATTAATTTTTTATTTAAATTCTTTTGTTTGTATTGTTCATCTTCAAAGCTTACAATCTGAAGGTGTCCGTTCCTACACTGGTCAGACCACTGTCCTTGGGGCAGCTGGGGTCTTTGGGACCCTCCACCGGGCTCGCCGGTCCGTCGGACTTTTGGCTGAGATCCGTGTCAGACTCCTCCGAATAGTCGTCTGTTGGCATCGAGGGCTGAACCCCTGAGGTGCTGCATGAACTTGAGGTAACCGTTGAAGATGAGGAGAGAGGAGGAAAAGAAGGAGGCTTCGGGGCCGAAGCCCGGGAGACCACTTGCGGCCAAGACTTCCTGGAGGCGTGGGGGGAAGCGGAGGACGAGGAGGGGGCGGCGGCCGACTGGGGAGGGGGGCTGTCGTTTGAGTGAGCGGCAGACTGCGAGGTAGATGCGGTGCTAGGATCGGGGAAGCAGGCAGAGTGAGGTAATAAACTAGGGTGCTCTTTGGCGTTTCTTGCTGCTCTCGTGATTGTTCTGTGTTTGTGCAAGGCCGACTCGAGATGTTGACTCAGAGCTTCCTCCCCACAGAGCGTGCTCTCGCACGCCAGGCAGTGGTACGAGCCGCCGCCACTGCTGCCACCGCCGCTGCCACCGCCGCCACCACCGCCGCCCGTGGGGACGTGAAGCACCATCTCTTGCAGGTTCACCACAGACTGGCCGAAGAAGCAGAGGGACTTCAGGTGGCTCCTCGCCGCCTCCTCGTCACCGAAGCCCGCCTGGCACTTGCGGCAGACCAACTTGTACTGCACCTTTGGAACAATGAAGGGGTCATAGAGGGAGTCCGCACTTTTGCTTTCTGCTTCTGGCTCTTCGGGGGGTTTCAGCAGGAGGGGGGACACCTCACGGGGTGCGTTTTTCTGCTCTTCTGGTTTGGGGGATTCTTTGGCAGGGTCTTTGTCTGGGGAAGCAGCCCCAGGGGGGACTGGGGTTTGGCTTGCTTTGGGCTGCTGCTGCACTTTTTGCTGCTGCTGCTGCTGCATTTGCCGCTGCTGCTGCTGGATCGCCTCCTGCAGACTCTGCTGGTATTGCTGGTACTGCTGCAGTAGGGAGCCCGGGGACAGCCCCATCAGGGCCTGTGACAGCGCAGGGCTGTAGGGGAACAGGCCTTCCATGCCATACATTGGCTGCAGGTACCCGCTCTGCAGGGCGCCAGGGATCTGGGGGGCATAATAAGGAGAGAAGCCTGGTACAAAGTAAGGAAGGAACTGGCTCGTGAGCAACGCTGTGGGGTCTGAAGTCAAGGCTGCCTGCAGGGCCTGCAACTGTGCAGGGTCCACTGCATACTCCATGGTGGGCAGTGGGGCTGAGATGGTGGCTGCGGCTGCCGTGGGGGCTTCTCCTTTCTCCTTCTTGGGGACAGGCAGGGGCTCCCCTTTCCCTTTGTGTGCCTTTTCCTTCTCCTTTACCTTCTCACTGTCTTTGTCCTTGCGTTGCTGTTGCTGCTGTTGTGGCGGGAGCTGTGGCACAGGTGGAGGCTGGGTTGCTGGCGGTGGCTGCACCTGTGGCTGCTGCTGCTGGGGTTGGGGGTGTTGCTGAGGGGCCATCGCCATGGTGGCTTGTGCTGGGGTTGGGGAGTTCAGTGTCGCTGAGGACGGTTTATTTGGTAATCCAGATGTGGGGAGACCAGGGGAAGGAACTGTTGTGCTGGGCAGACCCATCAAGTTCGGTTTTGGAGACGTTAAAGCTGAAAAGAACGGACACAGAGAAATCACGTCAGTCTGGGTGGTGAGGCTGAAGTTCAAGATGTTTTGACCTGTGTCACTGGCACAGAGTCTGAGGTCTCAAGGTTTATACTTGAAGGTTTACACCGACATTTTCAACAGAGGTGTCAGCCAGGCTTAGGGTTGGAGAGCCTTGTATTCTAATCAAGCCCGAGTCCTGGATCAGCTCCGCTCCCACACTTCCCTTTCCAGCCAAGCACCTTCTGCCCCATGTGTCATGCCCACCCCGCTAGTTCCTATTTTCTTGCCAAGCTCCCTGCTACCATTCATTCTACCCAAGGCAATTAGTCTGGAGGCCCCTAAACTAGCTGGGACCAAGGGCCTTCATCAAAGTGTCACAAAAATACTACGGCCAAGAGGTCTCACCAGAAGTTGTCTGGAGGAGACAGGTGACAGGAAAGGAGAGGGAAGGAAAGCAAGAAACCTAGCCAAGCCTCAAGACAATGTGAACAAATAGGCTATACACATGCACCTCTGCAGCTGAATGGATCCGTTAAGAAGAAAGACATAGGAGGAGGAATAGGAAGAAATCAAAACAGTCTATTCAGGGAAAACTGTTCCAGTGTCTTGGCTCAGCTGATCTGCTTTAACAAATCTGTTGAAAAAATGTAACCATCTAGGAATGGGATCGGCAGTCCTCTAGAGAAATGAACACTTTCTACTCTTGCCCCTGTTTGAATGACATACAGCAGGGCTAGGGCTGTAGACGGTGGAAAAACTGGCCATAGGAAGAGGAGAAAAACATGTCAGAAATGGAACTGCCCAAAGTGCTGCCACCATCAATTCCTAAGATTGCATCCTACATCAGGTACCATTGCTTATGGGTGGCAGAGGTCTTTGACCATGTCACTCACTAGACACACATGGAGTACAGCCCCATCCTCAGTCACACGCAGACCTAACCTACCACTACCTGTAAAGCTTTCATCCAGCCCAGAGCCTAATATACCCTCAGACCTATCTTCTGGTTTGAGGCTTTTGTTCCAGAGTCATGGAAGTGATGTTGATGCTGCTGGTAGATATCCCCGCTTTTCAAAAGTTCACTTTGTGCCACTTTGCTTTTAGGAAAAACCTACATTAATACCTATTTTCGCTAACAAAGAAATACAAAAAGTGAAAATAGCATTCAGTGTTTGCTTTGCAGTGAGCTATAGTAGAGGCATCGCGCACCCTGAACAGGGAGCGTGGGACTGCCAAGCTCCTTCCCCAGGAACTACACTCAGCATCATAGCTTTGAGCTGTTTCTGTGAGTATCTGTGCTTTATCTTGATCTATTGTGTGCATTTGTTAGCAAGATGTGTCCTAAGATGACTGCTTCTTCACTTCATGCCATTTTGACTTAGGAAAGGTTTCATAGGAACACTCTACTTTCAGATAGTGAGAAAAACTTGTACACCAAACTATAGGTTTGTAAAGACTAGTAAGGTGGTGGGGAGAAAGGATGTGCTGGGTGATGAGATGCTGAAAAAAGACAAGAATTGAGAAGAGTTCATAGGCAGCAGCCTTCAGATTATCTTTACATTTGCTACACCCAAGAAACTAGACAGTGTACAGCCCCTTCACTTCTGTGAGCACCAGAATTTAAAAGCAAACCCTATGGCCCCTCACCACTTATCTGGATCACAGCCAGAAAGCTGTGGTAGTGGGTTCCATAATGTGACACTGTCCTCATGAAGCCCAGACCTGGGTGAAGACAATGTTGACTTCAGTGTTTACTGGGCTATTACACTGCATTTGAAAACACTCAAATTTCAGATAAGAGAACAAAGTTGTCTCAAGTTGCCAATCGCAGAAAAACATCCGTTAATGTTTGGATAGACAAGGAGGATGCTTCCCTCAGCACCACATATCATCATTTATGTACTCTTCTGAAATTAACACATCCAATTTCCTCAATGCACATAAGGGGCTGAAACCAGAGGAGAAGATAAATCCGACTAAGAAAAACACAGTAAAGGCTCATTGGACAAATTGGCACAAACGAGGCTGCAACAGAATGGATTATGAATTCTAAATTTGCAACATGGCTCTTTCCGTCTCCCTCTAGACAACAGGCCTACTCCAAGTTTTAGGTTGTAACCAGAGCCAAAAGGAAGGGTAAGGAAGGAACGTCTAGATGTTTCCCCATCTCTATGACATCAGGTTTTCAGGAGAAAGATCCAGGTCAGAAGGCTTTAGACGGACTTTCTATATCTTGAACTGACAGTCTACATAAAAGATTCAAAATTTTAAGAAATGGTTACTGAACCTGTGCTATTTACAAGCTCTGCACTAGCCACATTTGATACAGTATCAATACAGTAGCTTAATGTGTTCTCAGTAATTCTGTGCCCTTGGTTTTCTCATCTGTAAGATCAGAACCAAGCAAGGCACTTCATCCCCGAGACCTAGGCATGCACCTCTGGAGTCAGACTGATAGGATATGGATTATGATTGACACACATTTGCCATGTGTGATCTTGGACCCGTTCGCTGACTGCTCAGTTTCCCACAGGAAATTGTTGTGGGGATTTACATGGTAAAGGTTACCATTGGGCCTGACATATTAAACATAGGTCTCTTCCCTCCCATTCCAGATCCAGTGCTCCTGTGAGCTTTGGTGCAGTCAGGAGGTGGTTACGGGGGGCACATCTGGCTGGCTGCCTTGAATAATTAAGAGCATATCTTTCCATCTTAAGTCCACTTTAAGTGGTCAGAACCTGAGTAGCACTAAACATATACCTGTTGACTGACTGGCTCATATTGGGTGTTGTGGAAGGAGCACATAGCACTGGGAGCCCGGAGGCCTGGGTGGGAGCTCTGGCTCCTACCCTAGCTTGCTGAAGGGTCTCGACCTCTCTGGGCCTCAGTTTTCTCATCTGTAAAACAAGGGGAATAGATCAGACATTCTGATTCTAATTTTTTTCACATTATTATGAAATGTTGGGCCTTCCCAAGCCCCTCTGCCAAGGTCCTGGGCTGCAAGGATAATTCAGTGTCTGGCCACTTTCCACAGCTTGTTTCTTGGCTTATGTCTAGCTGGCTTGAGCATCATTCTGTGACACTAACTTGCCAACACACATAAGCAACGACTTTTATATCTTAATGCTTCCTTTTCTTGTTCCTCTCTTTGGCTAAGAAACTGGGACCAGGAATGAGGTAGTCTTATGTTCTGTAAATCCTGCCAGAATTGTAAAACTTGGATTTCACTCAACCAGGACTGCTCTTCGAAGTAGAAGAGCCGCTTCACCTCCTGGGAACAGGGACATGTTTTGAAGGCAAGGAGGCCCTTTGAGGGGCTCTCCTTTGGTGAATGTGCACTGGCCAATGCAGGCCATGAAGGCAACTTGATGATTTGTGCCTAAGACTTAGAGGATTGTAGAGGTCCAATTTAGGAAAGACAGGTGGATCCAGGGAAGATGGGTAAGGACAAACAAGAGAGGTACACAGGAAGAACTGTGAGACTCCCCATTAAATGGAAAAATGAGAGTACCAAGTATATGATTCTGAATAGGGGAGAGAAGCAAAAGGGGAGATGGGCAAAAGGAAACGATGCAGATTGAATACCCCTAAAAATTGACCATTAACATCATTTGTCTGTCTGGAGTACTAACACAAACATGTCAAAATTCAAAACCACATTGCCCAATACAAGATTCCTAGTCAGTGCATTCGAGCACAAACTGACACAGCCACTGTTGTTCTGGCTAGAAGAGAATCTTAGGAGTAAGAGGACACCTGACAGCAATTATGCCAGGTAGCTCTCTAAAGAAGGGAGCAGGGACCACACAGGTAAGGGCAAAGATTGGTTTAAATTCTCTTGAACAAGTTCCCATAGGGCATGATCCAGAACTTGCTAGATATTAAAGTGTCTTATATTTTCAACAAATATCTAGAAGGGATCAGGATTTCCAGAAGCAACAAATGGAAGGGTCTACAATAGAAGCTTCTTTCTTGAAAATAACACCTCTCCCACTCCCCCCGATTGTGCTGTTGAACACAGGGCACAAGAATGGTTTCAGAGGAGACCAATCCAACCAGGAGATGCCATCCCTGAACTGGGAAGTCAAAGAAAGATGTACAACATGAGCACAGCTCCAGGGTGACTCAATGGAAGGCACCTGAAGTTTTGTTGAAGCTTCCTATCTGCCCAACACTCATAGGGTATGGATGGTAGTCACAGAACAAAGGGCTAAATGGGCAGCTACTGAATGCTGATGGAATCACCTAGAGCAGAACCCACCTGTGTTAGATGGAGTAAAGCCCGGCAAGGAGGGGCTGTTGAGGCCAGGGAGCAACACAGGAGGAATGCCCTGGAGTGCCGGATATGCTGTAGGAAGGTTAAGAGCCTGTAGAGGGGCATTATCAAACATCCCTTGCTGCTGAGCTGCCAGTCCGAGGACCTCATTGGCTTTTTTAATCCGGTCCAACTCTTGTTGAGCCATCAACTGACGTACAGTGGCTGGGTCAAAGTATTCTTTCTCCTTGTCCAACTGGCTTCCAATGGTGTCTTTAACTTTGGAGATATGCTGTTGGGAAAAGATATGGTCACGTACAGACAGCCGAGCGCTGTACTTGATGCCACACAAAGTGCACTCTGTTTTGGGTCCCTCGTAACTTGTTTGGTTTATACCAAAATGCTTGGCCATGCTTAACTTAGACTTCTTTTCTTTTGCCCGGGCATTCTGGAACCAGACCTGAACAACTCTCTTTGGCAGTCCAATGTCATTGCCTAGGACCTCACACTCGAGCATGGTGGGTGTCCTGTAGTCATTAAAGCATGACTTGAGGACCTTCAGCTGCAAATTAGTCATTTGAGTGCGAAAACGTTTCTGCCCAGGCCGATCCCCATTGTCTCCAGATTTGCCTGCTGACCCACTTGCACCAGGACTTGGGGAGCAGGGGTCTGCAAGACTTGAGGTTTCACTGTAGTCCACTGTACCTTCATTGTCATATTCTTTGCTGTAAAAGCTCGGGGCTGGGCTGACCAGGCCTGACGACAACCTGTCCTCATACTCGGACATTGCCATCATGGCCGCTTTGGTCAGCCCGTCATTGGGTGCAGAGGAGGATTTGGTTTCGGTTGCTATTCCCGTCGCACTGTCGTTATCTGCGTTGCCCTCATCTCCAGTAGTGGTATCTGTGATTGCTGTGTTGACAGAGGAACAGTCATCATTGTCCAGCTTAGTCTGGTCAAAGTTTAGATTAACTGCAGACATGGAGGGGCTTTCAAAGTCTTCAATCCCTTCCACCTTGATGGAAGAAGGGCTAAGAAGAGTTCTTGGAGATAACTCCATGGTTTTACTCACAGGTGAGAGGGGAACACCTTGGCCATCACTACTGCTTGGGGGTAGGTGGGAAAAGCTAGTTCCATCAAAAATATCTCCTTTCATTTGGAGTCCCCCATCGCAGTCTAAGAGCATTGCAGACAGAGTTAGGTTGTAGCCAGCTCTCTTGGCTTCATGCCAATGACGGGACCGGATATGAGCCTCGAGAGCAGTCTTGGCTTTGAAGAGGGCTCTGCAAAAAGGGCATCTCCTGTGGGCCTGGGCTGGGCCCACAGCCCGGAATTGTCCTTTCCTTTCCCTGGCGCGTGTGTTCTGAAACCAGACTTGTACCACACGTTTCTTCAAGCCTACCTCATGCGCAATGTGATCCAACATCTTTCGAGTTGGATTGGAGTCCAGCAGGTACTTTTGGTAGAGAATTTCTAGCTGTTCTGGTGTAATAGTTGTCCTCAAGCGTTTGTCTCTCTGAGGTTCTTCTCCTGTCCCACTGTCATTTTCGCCAGGGCTTGCGCTGGCCTTTTCCTCCAGCTTCCTCTTCAGAGTGTTCATAGTGGAGGTTGGAGTTGAAGGAGAAGTGGCCGAGCTTGCTGGAATCTGAGGTATGGCCCCAGAGAGCAGCTGGCTTGCCAGGAGAGGGTTACTAGGGTCAAATAGCATGAAAGGCATATCCAGTGACCTGTCTAAAAACTGAGGGTGGATGAACTGATTCTGCGCACTCAGGAAGTGAAGCTGCTGATGCTCCTGCCAATGTTCAAACGATGGGAACGCCAGCTTACACTGGTCACACTGGTAGGGAATTAGCTGAGGAGGTAGGTTTGCCAACTGTTGAGGAGTTGATGTGTGGAGGGGCTTGAGGGGCAGGTGGGACAGCTGAGAAGGACTGGGGCTCGACTGGGGTAAGGGGCACTGAGGAGGCGGTGCTTGTGGAGGAGGCTGTGGTAATGAAGTGGGGGAAGTTAGCTGTGGAAGCTTTGGCTGGGCTGCGTTTGTCTTCTGCTCAGGCTGGTCTTGCTGCTGCAGCTCTGCCTTTGGTTGTACTTGCTTTTCTTGGGTTTGGTTTGGCTGTGCACTGGGAGGTTCAGCCTGCTTTGGTTTCTCATCACTTGCCTCTGTTTTTGAACTGAAGGTGGCCAGTTCGTCAGCTTCTGCTGTAAGCTGCAAGAAAGCGGAGGAAGCTGTATTGGCTGATGGTGCTGGGGTGCTGTAAGCCTGTGAGGGCATTGGGGTACTGCAGGAGGAGCTGGTGGGTGTCAGGATTTCCATGGCATCCATGGAATCCTCATTTTGGCTGTCATCCTGCCCCTCCTCATCCTCATCTTTGTAACACAGCTTCTTCTGGTGCTTGATGAGATCAAAGATGCGCTGAAACACCAGGCTGCACTTTTTGCACTGGTAGTTCAGGTTGCTTGTTCGAATATACCTATCATTCGTAAGCTCACGCCGCTCTCCATCTTTGCCTTCTCCCTGATTCTCATAGTTTTTCCTGGCCTTCTGTCGGGCATTTTGAAACCACACCACTATGACTCGGGTTGGCAGGTTCAGTAAATTAGAGAGTTGCTCAAATTCATCGTCCTTTGGGTAAGCATTGGCATCAAAGAAGTCCTGTAGAACCCTCAGCTGGTAGTCAGTAAACCGTGTTCTTGAAGACCTCTTGCTTCCCCAGTACTCTTGCTTCTGAGGTTCCGGCGAAGGGGGCCGGGAGTCAATCTTCAGCTCCTCCAGGCTGGTGATAGGAGGGTTGCTGAAGTTGTAAGGGGAGTCCTTATTACGCTGCCGCTCTTTGAAGAGAGTGTTTCTGAACCAGTGCTTGATCACTTTCTGGGGCAACCCAGACTTGTCAGCCATCTCTTTGATCTGCTCTTCACTGGGGGAGTTGTTAATGTCAAAATATTGCCGCAGGACTCGGAGCTGGTCATCCGTGATCCTGGTGCGAGGCCTCTTGTTCTGCTGCTGGAGCAGACTTGGATTGAGCTGATGCTGGTACAGCTGGGCCAGGTCTGCAGGCAGAGGCTCCACAGGTCCGAGCTGAGGAGGCAGCTGGGCTGGCAAGGTCTGAAGTGGCATCGTCTGCATCATCAGTGGTGAGAAGATGGGCAGCTCCATGGGCATGGAGAGCTGGGTGAGCGGAACGGATGGCTGGGCCGGTGCAATTGTAGGTGAAGTGATGGGTGGTGCGGACACAGGGATGGCTGGTGTGGAAGCAGGCTGAGGTGGTGCTGCAGGAAGTGGAGGTGGAGGGGGCGGAGGAGGAGGTGGTGGCGGCTCTGGGGTTTGGGGCCTCAGGGGGTACAGTTTATCGTAGTGTTCTCTGTACTGTTTGGCAAACCTCTCCAGCTGTTTAAAGGGAAAGTAATTTTGATGAACATGCTCTTGATGACTCTTTAAAATCAGGATGTTGGAGAATAACTTGCCACAGGAGTCACACTCGAGCTTTTCCAGATTCTCTCCGTGCTCCGTCTTCCCATTCTTTTTCTGCACCTTCTGCTTATTCTCGTTGTACTGAATGACCAGCTCAAAGCCAAAGTTCTCCAGCAAGGCCTTGGTAGCGTTCCCTCTGGCATCTGAGGCGATGCGTGGAGGAAGCATGGAAGGCTCAGAACTACCCCCTGGTGCCAGCTCTTTCTTCTCTTTGGCCTTCAAGGCATCTGGCAGAGACTCCTTCGGTCCTGCGTTGCCTTCTCCCCCTTCAGCACCATCCCTCTCTCTCTGGCTTTCTTTTTCCTTTTCTTTGATGACCAATTTGTTTTTCTTTTCAGGGTGCTGGCTTGGCTGTAGGAGGGTAGAGTGACCCTGGGATAGAGAAAGCTGGCTTTGCTGCAGGATCTGCTGGTGGCTCTGCTGTGGGATCTGAACCTGAGCCTTCAGATCTTCCAGCAGGCCTGGGCCTGTCCCAGTCAGCGTCAGCGCCCCACTGGTCACTGGCAAGCTCACCTCAGGGTTGAGCTGGAACTCAGCGCTGGGGATGTAGAAGGGGAAGAGGAGGTGCTGCTGTTGCTGCAGCTGTAGCAGGGTCTCAGTGGTCATGGGAAAGTGAGGAAGGAGGGTGGGGTTAAACAGCTGAGACTGGATCAGGGCAGCCTGCTGCTGCAGCTCCTGTTGCAAGTGAGCTTGAACTTGAGCTTGGGCCTGGGCCAGTGTCTGTGCTTGTTGCTGCTGCTGCTGCTGTTGTTGCTGCTGCCTCGATGCAATCATATCTGCCAGTTTCTTCCGATTGGCCTCCTTGGGCTCTGAAGGGGAAGTGATGTTGGCACTGATGGGATTCCCCAGGGGCGGCATTCCTACACTTTCAGTGGGCACTTGGCTCAGTAAGCTGGAGCTTGGAGCAATGCCAGCACTGCTTGGGTTGGTGGTGGTAAAGGTGTTACTGCCAGTGGTGCTCACAGGACTTGGGGTAGAGGAGCTCAGGGAGACACTGCTGCTGTTCCCATTGCTACTGCCACCTGCGGCCTCCAGCTTGGCTGCCCGGGCCTTGGTTTGATGTAACACAGACCTCATGTGGATCTCCAAAGTGGAACTCTGGCTGTAGGCCACGTTACAAGTGTTACACTTAAAAGGCTTGTTGTCTGGGCTGCTGGTGGGTTCTGGCTGACCAGTTGCCGATTCTTGAAGGGCTCTCTTTAATTTATGCAGGTGGGAGACAGAATTATAGTGCACCAGCAGGATATTCTTTTGCGTGAAAGATTCCTTGCAGACGGTACACTTGTAAGGGCGAGAAGGGTCTAGAAATTTCTCCATGGTGAAGTTGGGGCCTTTTCTGAAAGGCAGAGCTCTCTTCGGTTCTGAGCCTGAGTCTTCTTGTACTGACCCAGAGTCACTGCCTGTGGGGCTCTGCTTCTCTTCCAAGTCACTCTCTTCCTCCTTATCTTCCTCAACAATTATGGTGTGGTCCTCGGCCAGGGTGGGGTCTCCCATTGCCAGGAGGTCCCCATTGGCCAGAAGGCCGCCATAAAGCTGCTGGATGTCGGCCTCACTCAACTCCAGGTGGCTCGTCTCAAGATGTTTTTTCAGAGCCTGGAAAGTTCGGAAACTGCGCTGACAAAGACAGCACATGGTGGCGGCTCTGATCACGTGGTACTGAGAATGCAGCTGCAGCTTTTCAATGGTCTTGAAAGCCAGGCTGCACTGATTACAGCGGTACTTGTACACGTGGCGATCTGACACAGGCAGCTGGGGCCTCTTGGTGTGAACCTCATTGAAGTGAGTCTGAAGAGCCGCAGAAGTTTTGAAAACCTGGTTGCACCCTTTCTTCCAGCACAGGAAGCCCGAGTCTTCTCTCATAGAGCCTGGGTCAGCAGAAGAGGGTTTCAGATCCCCACTGTGCTCTGTGCTCACGGAGGGCAAGATGTTCTTTCCAGGATCCTCTGAGGTTTCTGTAAAAAAACACATCAAGCCCAATGATAAAGAGGGCTTTGTTTCAAGGATGGCACCAAGAGCTGTCTACCTAGCAAGGCCTCAGGAACACAGAATCTGACGATGAGGGAAACACCCAACCTGAACACACAGCCTCCTGCTTTCCTTCCCTCTAATAGAGCACACATATTAGGAGCAGGTCCACATGAACGGAGAGGACTGAAAGGAAATACAAAAAGTGTTGCCTCCTAATAAACCTGTATCCTATCACATATCTAGCTTTTAAACAATATTTAAAATTGTTTGGCTCAGAATCCTCAGTTTCTCCAGAACTGGTTTGAAGGTTACTGATTTTAAGTGGGTTCACCTTTTACATGGATCAGTATTATAGAATATGTGAATTAATGCTGTCCTGAGTTATGGGGCATATTTGAGAACTGTGGTCCGTTGTAATTTAAGAAATTTTGGAATATATTTTTAGGCATTTTGACTGTTATCTCTATTCAATAAGCAGTGAACATTCAAGTGGCCAATTATTAAAATACAGTACATTTTTCCCTATAATGAGCATACCCATAAATATTCTGACCCAGATCAGCTGTCCACAGCCTGATATGCTGACAGGAGGTGAACAATGTAGAGGAGCCTCATAAATAGAGCCTCATAAATGGAGGTCTAATGATCTATCCAGGTACAAACCATCGTGGGGCACCACCACATCATCCCTGTCTACGACAAGGTACCCCTATACTATATCCTGAGGCAATCCTAGAAGACTCAGAGAACTTGGAGTGGAGGCAGCTCCTAGAAAGATGACTAACCCAGAGCCCTGAAATCCCCCATGTGCTCTATAAGTTCCTAATAAAGTCCTCAGAGATGGAGTGTTTAACAGCTTAGGATGGTGAGTTATGGGTCTGTTCATTGAGTCTCAGGTTATTCACTCCCGAAGGGGACATGCCCACCAAAATCCTACTTGTTCTCACCTGGTTTTATCCCTTTAAACCATATGAGTAGCACATAAAAATATGCCGAGAACCAGAGTACAAAGTGGCTGCCAACAGTGCCCCTCGTCTTCTGATCAGTTACAGTCAGCTTGGGAGTACTGTGAAGGACTCTGGGCACCCTCGCTCTGTGAAAAATCCCGGCCCGACATTTCATTCTGTTCCCATTTGCAGGGGTCAAGGATAGTGACACTAACCAGGCTGCTTGCCTGCCTCCTCAACATTGGGGTTCCCGTCTCGATCTGGAACAGCCGCTGGGAGAAACATGCTGCTGGGCATCACCATCTCAGGGGTGGTCACCTGAGGAACAAGAGGCAGAGAAACACAGAGAGTCAAATGGAGAGGGAAGAGACACAGAATAGGGAAATGTGTAACAATTATTTAATAAGCAAAATTAGCCTTCACCAGTGTAAAGCTGGAGGTGTCACTTTTCATAGCTCACTGAAGATTCATGTTTATTAGACAAAGCTCACATCAGTCAAAAGTGTTTCTACGGTTACATTCTGGACATAATTAGCAGTGCACACTTGAAGAATAATCTTATTATTAATATTTTTCCTTTATGCAGAATTTTGACTTTGATCACTGACAATGTTTTGTCATGGGCTGTGAAACTTCTTGTGCAACCAATTAGGTAGATAAGTTGAAAGGCCCACCTTAAGCTGCTGAAAACATAATAAGGGCCCTAATTAAATCATACCTAGTAAAGTACACTGTAATCTTGAAGCAGGGAGCATTGTAGTACTGTTTTCAAAATGTATTCAGGCAAGAAGAGGAGGGGAATAAGAGCAAAGGAAAGGGTAAGAAGAAGAGAAGAGAACAAAGGAAGGCTGAGGACACGCAGGCACATTGGCGGTTTTTCCAGGAAACAACATTTTGTAACCCTTTACAAGCTGAGATCAAGTGCAAATAAGCATTTCTTATGACTCACTTAAGCCAGGATTTCTTGTGGAGTTTCTGCTCGAGGTACATAGCATCAGAGGGGAACCTCTGGCCAGTGTCCCAGCTACACAGGATGCCCCGCAAAGCATCCTTCAGCAGGGTGGCCCCACTTTAGCCACTGTTTCCCAATAGAGCAGCGGTTCTCAACCTGTGGGTCTCAACCCCTTTGGTGGTCGAACGACCCTTTCACAGGGGTCGCCTAAGACCATCCTGCATATCAGATATTTACATTACTATTCATAACAGTAGCAACATTACAGTTATGAAGTAGCAACGAAAATAATTTTATGGTTGGGTCACAACATGAGGAACTGTATTTAAAGGGCCAGAAGGTTGAGAACCACTGCAATAGAGCAATTCCAGAATTAGCCTGGATTAAAAGAGCTACAATTTTAGGTCAGATCTTCAGACATTTCTCTAGGCTTCCCTGCCATCTGGCCAGAAGCTTGTCCAAACAACTTATCATTTGCCCCACATTAATGTGATAAACAGCCCTCAATATCCAAAGTAAGGATAAAAGGTTCTTTGTTTAAAAAGAAACAATGTCCCTTTGCCTGCTATAGGGTGGGAATATAGTTGGTGATGATATTCCCAAATGAATCAGAAATTGTTTCCTGTTTGATGACAGCGAAAGAAATGATCTAACCTCAAGGTTACAGAAACTACAGTCACCACTAACCATTCTACACGGCACCTAGCCCATTTGGAAGCATTATTTTCCCATCAGCAACACAAATACCATGATAATACCTTCACTCGCTGTTGCAATGATTGGAACCACTAGATTACTGTTCAAAATGAAATATTTTAAGTAAATTCCTATTTCTAATCATTTGAAGATCTTGGCCTTGCTCAAAATAGCTACTGACATGTTACTAGAATCATCAGTGATGGGCTCAACTGTCAGAGGAAACCCAGACAACTGTTCACATTAACACCAGAAAGGTAACGCCCCAACACATTTATGGGTGTTAGAATAATTTCAGCAACCCCAGATGCTAACAGGTGCAAAAGTAAGCAACAGGCACTATGGAGAGGGGTTCTGAGAAACCGTGTTTCCAAGAGCAGGTGCATAGCAGGTGCACATGTGACAGAATCCCTGCTCTCACAGACACCTGCACCTCCACCTCCACACAAAACTTGTGGCAGCTGGTTAAGGCTAGCTGTTGATGAATCGTTAGGAGTGGAGCAGAGATTGCCAAACTCATTCCATCTATTTTCTTTTTAATAGAAAGCATTTCTGACCAGTGTGGTTAGGGAGTCCAGCAGGAGACCAAGAAGTGAAAGGTCACCGATTAATTTATAGTCCTCAGCTGAGGGGGAGCACAAGGTTGGGGGCTAGAGGGCGGAGAAAGGGAAAGGAAAAAAGACCCCCCCACCTCCTTTCTCAGTTGTAGCGGCAGGATCAGTCCTTTCCTGGGATCTTTTGGAATTATGAAAAATGAATCATGAGAAATAAAAAAAAAGCCCTACAGAGTAAAAAAGAATAAAATTATCTAACACCTCAGCTGCACATCATTATAGAAAACTGGGGGCTTTTTATACGCATTACAGTAAGGCAGACATCCCCTCTAACAGACTCAGTACGACGGATCAGTAATTGTTTTCATACACTTTAATTAGAAAAACTCAGATGGCTATGAATAATAATGGAAAAGAGAGACTTTTGCACTTGAAAGGTTGAAGTCAATCAAGTGTGAATGACGGCAAAAAAAGAAAAAAAAGACACCAATTCATCAGCCCTCTGTTGTCTCGCTGCGACTTTAATCATAATTCCTGATTGGGATTCAAGAAGGCAGTAAGCAGCGGTTCTTTGTCTGCCTTCACCTTCCATCAATTAACTCTCCCCGAAATATAATCATCAACCTCACATGCTCCTCTGCATCTTAATCTGGGCCTCCAAACCTGTAAGTCTTGCCCCATATGTGTTTAAGTAATTACTTTTATCTACCTGCATCTTCTCATCTATAGCATCTCCCTCAGAAGAAAAGAAGCCTGGGTATATAAAATTTTAACGAGCAAGAAATTCTCAGGAGGCAAAAAGGAGGAGCCCTAAAGGGAATCCTAAGGATCTAGAAGTCCGGGTAAGGCCTCTCTGCACCTGTGTCTGAACAGAGAGGTTGAGAAGAGAAGCCTCCTTGCTGCACAGGTGATGGAGGGCCCCGTGTCAGCTCTCAGACACGAATGACCCCTCCCATGCTTGTGTCCATTCCTCCCTCTCCTACCAGCTCCCAGAGCTTTCCACTCAAAAGTTTGCATGCTTTTGCGTAAAGCCATAAATTTAGTCCTGCCAACAGCTTTCTGAGGAGTTCTAAGGAAAGGAGAGTTGGCCAAAGGCACAGTTCCTTCAAAACTTGCCTTGGCACACCCCGCCCCCCTGTTTTTTAAACTGTGTGCAAGGTTCAGACTATCCAAGCCACAGTATCCGATGGAGAGCTGAAAGTCAGTTGGAAAGGCAGTCATTTAACTGCTGGGCACAGTTCTTCTGTAAAGACCTTCCCTTTAGAGGAGCATTGCGGAGTATAGGTTTCTGAGACAACAAAACCTGGCTACAATCTAACCAAAGCCATCCCAAAGGTACCCAAACCTCGCCTTCCACTAACTGAATCCCACCACCAGCACCACTGCACATGCATGCACACATGCACATACACTCTCTCCCTCTTCCCTGTCTCCCTCTGCCCTCTCTCCTACTCCAGACTCAAAGCCAAACAAAACGTTTTAGGTTTGGCCAGATACCAGTACCAATAAGTCCAAACACCTACACTTTTTTACAGTGACACTACCATCCAGATAGATTGATTTTTCTAATAATCTGTATACTGATAAACGTGTTCAAGTATGTCCCCATATTCTACCCATTAATGTATAGAGGATACCCGAGACTATTAAAACGGACTTTTAACCAAAAGTAAAACGAAGTTTTTCTGGTATGAAAATTCAATTGATTGGACACATTATTTCCTCAGAATTTGGGTCACTCAAGATTGGCCTTGGCCATCTAAAGGCAGTTCCATGGTGATCTTATTAACCTATTAGAAGAGGTGAACTGAAGTTATTCTAATATCCCTAAAGATACAGGTAGATAAAAGTAGTTACCTAAACACACATGGGGCAAGACTTACAGGTTTGAAGGCCCAGATACCACATGTGTTCCTCCCACTCTTTTGAGCCAAGTCCACTACATTCCTTCCAAAGTATGTAGAGTTGATGGGAATGTAGTATAAAAGCTGAGCTCAGGTGCTGAAAGTTCAAAAACAAACAGCGGCTCTAATCTTCCTGACAAGTAAACAGGTCTCATGTATAACCAGAAATGTGGAGTTTGCTCTGATGCTGAAATTCTTCAAGCTTAAGCAATTCTCATATCTAACAATAGCAACAGAAGAGTTCCACACTGACAGTCTCCAAGCTTAAGCAATGCCAAAGCAGCTTAGTTGTTGAAAAGGAAGAGCCTCATGTGACTCTGCTCATCTTTTCAATCTGACCATCGTTCACTAAACACTGCACAGGGTCCCTGTGCCACCTGCTTGTGAGAGCATGACAAGGTCCCTGTGCCCAAGTAGCTCACAATCCAGAATAATTAACCTTTTAGAGAATTTGATGAAACTTGTAGACTACTAGAAAAACACTTTCACACACAGACTAGTGCAGATAATTTCAGGAAATCACAGGTTCCTTAGAGGGAAATCCATGAACTCAAGTTAACTGCTCTTAAATACAAGGAGAGGTGACATGGGTTCATAAATACCTAGTTCTCTTCAGTTCACCATTATTATTATGATTTAATGCCTTTCAAATTTCTATGAGCTCAGTGGACCCTAACGCCCCAAGGACACCCTTATAAAACCCAGAGGGTTAGATGTGGGTCTGGTCCCCACTATGACATTAGGAAGAGGTCACCAGTGTTTCTTCATTCTTGATAGAAGCAGCTGGAATTATAAGGAGCCCTCCACCCTTCTTGCTTTCTCCAGGTCACGGATGTGGAGCAGCCAAATACAACACCCTGAGCAGCCATGTGGTCTACTTTGCTAAGGTCTTATAGAACTGTTCATGCAAATTCACCTCTCAAAGCCATTGTGTGAGGTTAGATCAGTGCAACCAACAAGTTCCACATGTTGGAAAGCAGATCTGTTTTCTTAGAGAAAGTGTTGAACCTGGTTTCTCTGAGACACTCAACCCTCCTGCCTTAGCACTGCTCGCCTAAGTGGGGCTTCTTTCTGAAAGGCTCACTTTTCCAAGTCAAAGTATAGGCTTGCCAAAACCTAGACTCCCAAATAAGCCTCAGATCCTTCACTTGTCAGTGAAAATCAATAGAAGAACCTCAGACGGGGGGGGGGGGGGGGGGGTCCTTGGACCCA